GTAAAACCATTCAGAATCCACCATCAAATCGAAGATTCTCTCAGGACGTCGACAGACAGGCGCGGGAGCAAAAAAGCCTGCTGGTAAAACACTTCTGAGAAGGGAGAAAAGAGGGCTCATCTCGAATTTCATGGGTTTTGTGAAGTGCAAAAGGACCTTTTTCCCCAGAGGACGAGAGAATTGTCTGCGCCACCATCTTTTGTGCCCTTCAAATGGGCTCAAATGACTGATGGTGCACAAGATGCACCCGAAATCTCGATCTGAGGATGAGAAAATTCATCCTGAGGGTGGATTTTTCACCTCAGAAGTGGTATTGAATGTCGTTGCAGTAAAATTAGCTCTGATCTTCACCCTTGACGTGCATCAACACCCACATTTCGACACATTGCGCGTCGCGAAACCTCAAAGAGATCATAAGAAATCATCTTGTTGATGTATTTTCCCCCTTTTCCGCGGGATTTTCTTTCATTACTGGAATTTCCATATTGTTTCTGGATGGATTCTGAGTGCCTCTGTCAATACAGTTGGCTTTTATGACTTCCGAAGACACTTGAGATTGCCCAACAAGCCTGCCTTTTCTTAAGACACCGCGCGCCACTGATAAGAGCTGCCTTTCCAGAGCAATCTCAGGAAGTGATCGTAAATATCCCGAGCATTTTGCATCTAGTGTGTCTTCATTTGAATAAAATCTCTTTTTTGACGGCTCTATTTCTGACCCAAAGTACTCCGCATGATTATCTCTTTGCCTAACGAGACACTCTCGAGAAGTTTATCTCATAGGCTGTTATTGGGAAGATATATTCGCGTGTCTTGCCTGAGATCAAAGTGTCTCTTCCAACACCTGAGCTTCTCTAATGATTTCCTGTCCACGTTTTTTCTTCTGCACCACCAGAAATCAACTCGAAAATTCCTCAAACATGAATCCGGATTTTTGGCAAAACTTTTCGTCAAATTTATACCCTCTAATCAGTCCCGGCGTCTTGTTGCCTGTCCACTCTTGAGCCGAAAAAAAACCCACGCTGTGAGGCAAGAATTTGTGCTATTGTATTTAAAGTAAGTTTACCAAATTGCTTTACAGCACGCACTTCAGCGTTTGGGCAAGAAATCCCCCATAAAACCGCGTCCTTCGGAGTTGTCTTGTGAAAATAGCGGGCAATCCTTATCAAGCTTGGGCAAGAGTGGTTGCTGTGTCACTCGCCTGTCCTTTTACCTGCTCCGATTGTCTTCCCTTGTGCGTCTCATTTCGCCACTTAAGGGCGTAGTGAAATGTCGAGTGGGCAACTCAAAGAGACAGAGATTGCCAGAGCCCTGAAAAGGACAACGTGGCGGGTTTTGTGCCACTGCTCAGGTAGCTCAGGAGGGTGTGCAAGGCAAAGGATTACGAACTCTAATGGATATCCAGACGGAGCGACTTGATGAGGAAATAAAGGGAGATTTGATTCTCTGTCACAAGATTACACTGCCTCTCTGCATTCACTGGAAATTCATGTGTGTGTGTTTACTCAGCTAAAGGACACTTCAGCCTGTGAAGGAGCCTCGCATGGAAGGCTGGGAGAAATCACGATTAATAGCTAACATGCATTTGTCTGTATTTCAATGAAAAATGATGCAAAAAATCCCACAAATTCACCGAAACACCAAAAATAAACTCTCGCGCGCCTCTTCTCGCCATCATTGGCAAAAACAACACCGTGAAATTGTGGGTGATCTTAATGGCTTTGGCTTCTTAGAGTCAGCGAAGGAGATTTCGAGTGATTAATCATTGGTGAATAAATCAAGTTGAAATATGCCAGAGATTTTGAGATGATGGGAAATGAGAAGAGCCAAAGACACCTCAGCAAGCGTCTCAGGAAGTCCCTTTTGAGGCCATGTGTGTTCGGATATTCATTAGCCAACAGGGAGAAATTGCAACATATTCACTCCATCGATGAATAGAGCGAAGAAACTCATCAATGGATGAGTTTTTCGATGCTGGAGGAGAATAATTGAGCGCAGCAGGAAGCACTAAAGAGCCAATTCCCACACATCTGGTCAAATTCCACCATCTTTCGTCCTGAAGATTCCCTCGTCGGCACAAAAGGTGCGCATTCTCAGGTCATGTGAAGGGACTCGGCTTTTTTTTGCACAGGCAAAAATCATGTTTACTGCCAAACATCTCGAACAATGATGCAACGCTGTGGGATGAAAAATCTCCGGTGAACTTGTCACAGGGCGTGGATTAAAGTGTCTCTCTCAGAGTGGCCTTCAAGGGTCACAATTCCGGTCCTCCTCGAGGCGATTTTCCAGCCACTTCGCGTGTACTTATAATTTGCAACTCTGCGGAGACATGAAAAAAAAATCCGTGATCTTTCACTGCAGCGCCGCATCATTAAGTTTTCTGAGTGATTTTTGCCTTGTTTGGGAAGTGATCGCAATCAGAAAATGAGTGCAATTGCACACGCCGCACTTTTCGGTGTCCGCGAAGCACCTGAAGATATCGCTTTCGCCGTCTGTCCGCCCGGCCGACAAGTAGATTTTCATGTTTCACTATCGAGACTCGAATTTCTCGATTTTCAATTCAAAGACACACAACAATTCCTCGGCCGCACGATGAATTGAAGCTGGTCCATTTGCTGCACAGCTTCCCATGAATGAAAAAGCGCCCCGGCGATCGCTGTGCTGGTGCGCGCGATCTCTTTGAAGCCATCTCTTGTATTGCGTCCGCGATGGTGTGCGCAGAGGAACGACAAACAGGTTTCCGATTGAATTTCACACAGAGTTGTCCATAAACGCTGCGCCATCGCCTTTTCCAGCCATTCATTTTGCCTGCGCGCTGATCACCTGAAACCTTGGCTGATTTTTCGTGCATACACATTCACGTCTTCAGCTCGATTTCATCCATTTGGCATTCCATTCAACTCCTCCACACAATCGCGCGCCTTTGTCTCACTCTCGCTTATCACAATCGAATCCCCTCGCGGCTGATAAGCAGTGACGCAGCGTCTCTGCATCACAATCAAAAACCCCTCGTGACAATCTCCAAGATCCTTTCCCACCACATTTCTTTTAATCCCCTGCAATGCCACAATAAGAAACGCCTCACGATCAGCTCTTGAACGTGAACGAAATCCTCAATTCGGGCTCGCATTTGAATTCTCCTCAGACGTCTGATGCTTCTCGGAGATTATATGAACTCCAGACGAGAGCTTAAGTCCGTCAGGATTTCAGTAATGAAGTGATCTTCGCTCGCCGAGAATTTGGAATTCAAAAAGCAAGCAAAATAATGCACTTTTCACACGAATCGCTGGACTTAATCAAGGGCGTAGGCAAGAATTAGTCATAATTATTGCCTAAAAACTACTCAGAAGGATTTTTCTGACCCCAAATTTGCAAGAAAACCATTAAACTCCACTCAAAGTGTCTTTTAGCCGAAATAATTTGCAGATCTTCTACTTTTCAGTGCCTTTTTGACTTCAATTCTAGTTTGTTCTCTCAGTAAAAATAGGTTTCTCTCAATCGAGACCACGGAAAAGAGGTACGAAAGACGATTGAGGATTAAAACACCACAAAAACCTTCAGTGCGGATTAGATGCAAATGGCTTTTTTCCCGCCAGATCACGATCAACTCCTTTATCTTCTCAGCGATCGCACAGGAAGATCGTCGAACTCTTATCAACCAAACTCACATTTCGAGAGCAGACAACGCTGGACTATTTAGAGTAATAAATTGCAGCTTATCTCACAAATATGCAAAGTTTCACTATTTAGCGTCAACTCATGAAAAAAAAATTGTGAAAATTTTGCTGATCGTAAATAAATGTCAAGAATTTAGAATTATCACAAACAGTGAAACTAGCTTAAGTCCCCCAGAAATACACTTCTACGATTCTCAAGTGGGGCTGTTTTTTTCCGCCGTGAAATCATCGTAAAACGTGAGGATCAGTGTTTTTGTGAGAAATATAATTTTGGCGTCACAATCAGATTTTTTCGGGGGAATTTCTCGTGTCACGCATTTGGCGCTTTTCCAGAATGAATGGACTCACCTTTCATGTCCTGCTCCTCGATGTAGGCGTCAGCTGATCCTCCCGCGATCAGGAGCATCGCGATGGTCAGGAGTAATCGATAATCCGTCATCTTCTCCGGGTTCCGCGTGCGAAAACTCCGAAGGCAGGTGTAAACTTTCTATCTCTTTCGCAATGCGCAAAGAGGCCTTTTTTCAGGGAAAACTTGCACTATTGACACTCGAGGCGCACAATACACAGCACAACACGCAGAAAGCACATTTTACGGCCACTATAAATCTCTTCAAGATCGCTCCACTGTGTTTTATTATTCACAATATTATATCTTGCAATTGTTGAGGGAAAAAAAACACATTGAGAGACACCTTTTTCATCCAATTCTTCTGGCTCTCTCTTTCTTGTTCACTCTCTCACGCGAGGAGTTCCAGTGAGAAGATATTGTGTGTGTCGAAAAGTAGAACTCTTTTATTCGATCTAACTGAAAACCACCATTATTTCATCTTTCACCGTGTTATTATGAAATGGTGCTGTTCTGTAGGTCATTAAATTCACTCGATGTCAGGTGTGTGGAAAAGTTCACACACAGAATTGCACGGGAATGCGACAACCACTGTGAGTGGTAAACAAAACACACGGAAAGTCCACAGATAAGAGAGCGACTCACGCAGCTCACAGATCAACAACGAATGACAGCACCGCGCCAGCAAACAAGTGCGCCAGCCTCCATGCCCGCAGCAGCGCCCCGCGGCCGCCGAGCGAACGACGCCGGCGATCGCCATAAATTATGGCTCAGCGAAGACACACGAGAAGATCTCTTAAGTTCTGTTTGTGCGTTTGCAGTCTCTTTGAGCTTAAGAGACACGTTGAAAGACATGTTAAGATGTTTTCTGCTAATTGTGTTTGCCACTAGATGGCACATTAGCGCTAAAAAGAAGCTCCAAAAATCTGGCGCCATTATTGATCGATCATAGAAGAAACGCCCAATTTAATGATTCTTCGAAACCTCAGTTTAATTTATTATCAAATTCACTTCTTCAGCAATCAGTCTTTCATCTTCTATTTGCTCTTCATTCCATCCAAAATCCACTGCAAATAGTGAGTGACGTTGACGAAAACTCCTGTTTTTCCCGGTGTTCCGCACGGAATCCAAGTCCAGCTTGTGACGCCGTAGAGCACAAATTCTCCATCGGCGTTCTTCTGCACAAGAGGACTGCCAGAATCGCCGCTGCAGATCGCCTTGGAGCCATCTTCCTCTCCGGCGCAGATGTTGCTCTCGTGCATCGGCTCCTCAGGATATCTCGCGAAACACTGTTCGGAGTCCATGAGCGTCAGACTGGCCTTCATGAGTTTGTCGGGGTTAATTGGATTCAGTGTGTTGGACATCGATCCCCAGCCGCAGATCGTGGCCTGTCCGGTGGGATAGTGAGGCTCTGTGTGGGTCAGATTGAGCTTCGACACTTGCTCGTTGAACACGAAAGGCTCCGAAAGCCTGACCAGCGCAATATCGTGCGGATTGACGCCGCCCAAGTAGGCTTCGTGCTCGATTATCTTCGAGTGATTCCTTCGCTGCTCGAATTCATCCGGCTGACTAAGGCTGTGCGCTCCAGCGACGACTTCGGTGTCCTTGTCGAAGATCTTCACGCAATGAGCAGCAGTCAGAATCCACTCCTCGCTGAGAATCGCTCCGCCGCAGAAGTGCTGTCCCTGCCATTGCAAGGATACCTGTGGAAATTGTAGCCTTGAGTTTCCTTCCTTCGAAGATTCGGCGTTAGTTGGGACTTACCATGTACGGAAACTCGTGAGGAATGGCTTCTTCCCCGCCCACAACTCTAGGCTTCGCCGAAGCGAACGTGGCGAATCCAAAGAGCAAAGCAGTGCAAATGACGAACTTCATTCTCAGACTGTTTCTGAAACTATGATGAACGTCTCCAGACGCGTTCGTTTATATACAATTGAGCTGCCATTGATAAGCATGAAGAATATCGAGATTAGTGACGCGAACATTTCAGAATCTCTTAACTTATTGTGAAATATTGTGACGCGAATAGTTCTCACGCGAATTAGTTTCGAGAGGGTTAATTGATATCATAAGCGCACGAGGAAGTTGCACGAGTTATCACTTGAATTCCTCTTTAATTCCTCATCAGAACGTGCCTAAAACGACCGCCTAGAGCCTTAAGAGAGCACAGCGAAGACTTCCTGCTCTCAATCAAAAGAAAAAAGGTGTTTATCTTTCTCATTTATACGATGATAACTGATTTTGATCCGTATGAAACTCTCTAATATTTGTGCTACCCATTAAAAAACTTTGATTTATCAATTTCTGTATTATTTGAGAAAAATACGCAACGAAACAATCTCGTTTCTGATTTCAACAGTGTTTCGTAAGCAAAATGTTAAACATTCGCAGATCCTTTAGCGAAGACACTTTCGTACTAAATACGGAAGAAACACGAAAGAAAAGCTCGTCTTTCGCTCCTGATGGATCGCAAATTATCCTCTCCAGTCAAGTATCAGAAGTGCGAATGCAATGAAGGCAAAGGCAGTCGTAGCTTACAGTACATTATCGTCTTTATTCCCCGGATTCCCGCCCCGCGCGCCCGTTTTCAGTAGCGGTGGCGCGAGTAGTGCGGCTTGGGCGGCTGCTGCTGGTACGGCATGGGCATCTGGCCGGGCCGCATGGGCTGCGTGGTGTACACGATGCCGGGCGGCGGCGCGCGGATGTCCTTGCGCTCGTCGTGGTGATACGCCGAGGCCTGCGCGGGCGCGCGCTCGGGGATCTTCTCCAGCGTCACCTGGCTCTGGTGGTTGCGCTGCGGCGGCTGCGGCGGCACCTGTCCGGCGCCAATGGGCTTCACCGTCATCTCGCCCTTCATCTGGCCCTGCCCCGGCGCCATCTCCACGTGGTAGCTCTGGCGCAGATTCTGCTGCGGCATGCTGAGATTCGCCGAGTAGTTCGGATAGATGATGGACTGGTTGCGCGGCTCCACCGGGCTCTGGTTCGCCGTGGGGAAGAACAGCGTCCCCGGCGCGTTTGTGTACTGCTGCGTGGGCTCTGTAATGGCGAGAGAGCGTGGGATTCAGTAGCGAATATCACGAGGATCGTCCCCGGAAGGAAGACGATCAGAGAAACTCTCGATCGCTCTTCAGAAAAATACTCACTATTCCACAGAACTGCTCTCCCCATCACGTCTCCAGCTCTCCTGCCCTCCTCGATTTCTACAAGAAACGCACACAATCAGCTCATCTCACGTCAGACCAGAGAGAATCCAGAGAAACGTACTTATTGGGTGGGAATACGGCTGGCCGCTGTTCGTCTTGTAGTATCCTTGCTGCCCGGCGTTGGGCGAGGGACTCCTGGGCCGCTTCACCTGGCCCTGCACGCCCACCGGCGGTCCAGCCTGCTGAATCTTGGGGATGAGCTGCTGCTGGTGCATCGTGCGCGGCGGCATGAAGAGCTGCGCGTGCTGTCCGGGCTGCAGCTGCATTCCCACGCCCTTCAGCGTCTCCAGCGTGTCCATCTGCTGCTGCTGCTTCTTCCGCACCTCGTCCTGGTTCAGCACGATCTTCAGCTTGAGGAAGAGCTCCTGCTTCTTGTTCTTCAGCTCCTGCAGCTTCTTGTCCAGGATCTGAATCTCATCGCGCGTCTCGCCCAGCGTCATCACATCCTGGCGCTCGCGCGCCTCGCGCTCCTTCCGCAGCCGCTCCTCCTCCACCTCAGCTTCGAGTTCTGCCAAAGGACAAGGGTTCCCGGACGGGCATTAGCGATCTACGCGCGAGAGACGCCGAAAGGGGGTCAAATACCTTGCTTCTTCAGCTGTCGCTCGTGCATTATGTGGTGCTTCAGGCCGATCCAGAGGTTGTCCTCCTTCTCAGTCTTCGCCGCGGTGGGTGTCGTTGCGGCCGGCATCTTGAGGTATTTTTTCGCACTAATTCTGAGGACTTTTCGGGACTTGTGCTAGAGAAACCGTGCTCCTTCCTGCTCTTCGGCTTGCCACTTGTCAAAATACTGAGGAGTCACCAGAGTCCCATTGCACGGCCCACTCCACAGATGGCGCAGCGCAGTGCAGCAAAAGCTGCTTGCTGCGTGAGGCGCGCACTGGATTTCGCGCTCGTCAATTGCGCCAGGGCCGAAATCAGGGCAATTACAGGTTCTCCAGACACTGCAAAAGCTGGAAATTTACTCGTTCAAAATTACCAGCAATTTACAACACTGTTTTTCATACAAAAGTCCACTTTATTGTACAGAAATCAAACTTACATACAATTTCTACATGAAAATCATGATCAATTGTACCATCGATATTTTCCACTGAAGCTTCTTTGACATGAACAATGCCTTGAAATGCACTAGAACTAGAGCGAAAGTTAATGACTACACAACTATGATTATAGGCGATTTTATTAGTGATTATTTGTTTTTACAATTAAATGCCATTCGTTTTAAATTCATTGAACAGTTCCTTATTCGTAGAATAAAATTACACTCTACTTGGCTATATTTGAGTCATGCTTGAGATGCCACACGTATTTCTATAGATATTCTCTTTGGTACTTCACTATTTCTACACGATCTGCATTTATTGTGATTATTAGGACCATTGATTAGAATGCGCTGCGATCATTGCGATACGCTCGGCAGAAGTTAAGTCTCAGTTCTTTAAAGGTAATATATAAATAAGATTAGAGGAAAGTATAGTCTTTACAAAAATACTTGCTGATTATGCACTAAAGCGATCCTATTTTTAGATTACACCTAACATTATTCGTTTCAACATGGCGACAGAATTTGAGGAAAATTTCAAAATTCAAACAAACGTCTCTAAACGACTAACATGACTTTCCGTTTCTGGCTTTACTGACAACGCTGATGGCTTAAGTATATATATTTTGGATACTTTCCACTCCTCAAAAGGAATGTTTACAATTTTGAGAAAAGATATGTTTTCGACAGGAATTGAAAAATCCCGGTCATTGATTTTTCCTACGATATTTACATTGTGTTTTAATTATAACCAGAGTTGAAGATCAAATTTTTGTGATTGCTTAGAAGCTCTGCTTAATTGCTTTCTGGAGTCTCAAGAATCTAGATCTTGATTTCTTGAAATGTATAAATAAATTTGTCAATTTCCCAAATTGCTTGGTTCGAATGAATCAGGATCTAAACTTGGTCCCGATGTTTCAAACTCCTTCCTCGAAAGTTAGTCCGTTGCGGCATCCTTCCAACTCTGATTATAACTCCTGTAGATTTCACGATCACTTTGTGTCGCTAATTGGCTACCGATCCTCCAGGACTGCCCGGGAGGTGTGCTTCTGGAGTCTCTTGGAGTCTTTTGGTTGATCTCTATACGCTGGTAGATTCGGTGGAGTCTTTGGCTTGATCGGGAGTGATCGTGGTGTCTTCGGCGTCGCATCGTGACCTCCTTGCGATCTCCATCGTGCTGGACTTCACGGCGATCCACTCGTTCCGCGTGGAGTCGAACCAGGTCAGGCCCAGATTGTATCTGCCGTTGAGATTGGCGTGCTGGCAGTGCGAGAACCACCATCCGCCCTCATAGTTCGTGGCGCAGTGCGTGTTGCTGATGTCCCGATCGTCGTCGATCGCCGAGAACTGCATCCCGTTCTGGTAGTTCAGCGCATCCGAGGCGTTCCCACTGAATCCCGCCACTGTCAGCCTGAATCCGTCGGCGCGAGTGTCGATGTGGAAGTGGCTGTACTCCGCTCGCCAGGTGTTGTCGTAGATGTCCTGCATCTCTATCCGCAGACTGGAGCAGTTGTCCGCCGTGAGTCGGTGCAGCGCTTCGTTCCCGATCCAGAACTCACTCGAGGGCGATCCGAAGCCTTGCGCATATTCGTCCCAGGACCTGTTGAAGTCCACCGAACCGTCGTGGCGACGCTGGATCAGACTCCATCCGCCGGCTGAGCACTTCGTTATGATCGGACGATGCTGTCCCTCCGGAGCGATCAGGTAGAAACCATTCAAGCTGTGATCCAGGTGAGAGCAATCGCGCGGCATCTTGTTGACAATCGTTTCGTACTCCATTTCCACGTGCTCCAGCTGATCGACTAGGATCTGCGTTTCACGCTGGTCCGGCGAAAGAACGTCTTCGGGAGTTGCAGATTGGTTGTCCTTCGACTCAGATTCCATCTGCAAGGATAGAAATAACGTCGTTATAACGTTGCTGAAGAGTAAAAACGAAATCGCACAGATTTCCTTCGCAACATCCACTGAGTTATCTCAGAAATCGGTTCATTTTGAGTAATTCAAAATCGCACTGTTGCTCTTCTTATACCCGAAAGATTCCTCGCTTTTCGCACCACGAAACTTTAAATTGGCAATAAATTTGCAATAGATTTTGGGGGATAAGAGAAAAGTGATGACGAGGAAACGATTTACGTACACATTCGATGCAATAAAATCTGATTTCTCTGTGAGAGAACAAAGTAAATTTGGGGAAAAGCTCGACTCTTATACGCTTTCCCCCGAAGGGCTTTTCAGCGTTACAACCAAGTGCAGTAAATTCAACGGGAAAATCCACCCCAAAACTTCTCATGTTTGGCAAAAGTATCGGGAAAGTGAAAGAACACACGCAAAGTTGCGGTGAGTGGGTCAGGAATTTCATGGCAATTCATATAAAAAGTCGAGTCTATTTGGGGGAGGTGAAATTGGGTACTTTCCGCCATGCAATAAACTCTGCCGCGGGCATAATCAAAAACGCATCGTTTTCCATTCCAACACCTCCGAGTTATGGCCGGGATCGATTCCGATGAAACCGCTAATTGGCCATTAAATACACCTTAAACGACCGCCAATATAAATTTCCAATAAAGCTCTCGCGGTCGTGCTTTTTAAAGCTAATGTTGTTGATCATTTCGCGCGAAATATATGTATTTAATCACCTCATAAAGCGCTGTATTGTCTTGAGCGGTTAATTCGATAATGAGCCCATCGTGCAATTAATCGTTGCCATTTATGGGGAAACTTTTGTAATCGCTGCCACACACCCCCAAGTCGCACGTCTTGCGATGCGGAATGTGGGTCGCAAAGAGGTGCCCGAGGGAGTAAAAGTTTTCTGGCCGGAAAAAGAATCCTCCCTTTAGTGAAATTGAGGGCACGAGTTTTGCTGTAATTAAACGATTTTCATTTATATCCGTCAAATATTTGCCTAACGTTCTCACATTCAAACACACTTCAGCCGGTATCATTTTGGGGGTGGAAAAGTGGGTTGGTGCGCGCGGGTGGTGAGCCGAATGCATTGTGTCTATTTAGCAATATGACTTCCTCAACTTGGCGTAACATTGGAAGATAAACATTAAACAAGGAGAGAATTTCTCAGACCCGCTTCGTACCTAATTGAAAAGTGACTCCAGCGAGTACAGCAGTTCTGTTGGCAGAAGTTAAACAATTTCGCATGAAATTTATGGGAGAAATCTTAAATTTTAACATTCCGCATTGAGATATTTACAACTGGAGTGGCAATGCTCGGTGGAAATGAGAAAAAAGTCTAAGAGAAATGAGAGCTTTGATTAAATAAAAGCTCTCTTGAGAGGGTTTTTCTGTTTTTGCAATACCAGAAAGCGTATTTACAGAATTCTCTGCAGTTTTAATGCAATTACACATTAATTAGGTTAGCAAATTAGAGATTTTTTATTCACAAAGAGCTTGAAAAGTGATTTAGAGAGACGAATTTCCTCCTAAAATAAGTGCAAAACACTAGAAATTATGTTACTTATCTTGTGAGATATGAATATAAAGTTGCATAGAGTCGTATAGAATGATTTACATAAATCGATCAAAAAGTAAGAAAATTCCTCACTTAATCACTGTCAAGTGACACTGACTAGGTAATTATGATGTAACTTCATTGTGTGTGTGCTTGAACTCGATAAATCAGTATCGAATGCATTGGAAATTCCATTTGTTGCTGAGAACGTGACTCAATCATTAAGGATTCCTAATGGACTTTTACATACGAGAGCAAAGTGTCCTAGATTACAATTTATCAGTGAGCTTTTCCAATTAATACTTGTGTTTGATTTGTCCGATAAATCTCCCTAAGACGCCCCAAGCAGCTGCTATCTCCGCCATTGCCACTCCATAATTCTTCATCAACTCTAAGATTCCTCCCGTTGAGATACACTTTTGTTATGTCAACAAACCCATGGCATTATGTAAAGCGAGACTCACAGTGGAGCCCATGGAAGATGAATGGTTTGAGGAGGCCTCCTGAATGGCTGAGCTCCTCCATCTATTCAACCCTTTCACATCCTGAAGTGAGGTTGGCTTTTCCCCATTAAAAAAAGAACTCTCTGTGCGCCAGAGTGTGTGTGTGTGTGTGTGTGGTTTGTGCTGCAAAGAAAACCATAATTTATGGCTCGCAATCGAGGGTTGGGGCGCCACACAGAACATCGGAGAACAAGAGTTCGGCAACAAAAGGCATAGAATGCGTAGTGCATAAAAATTTATCACCGCCACCACAAACTGATTACAATTAACTCTTGCTATGGCATAAGAATTTCTCAGCACAGCACTAAATGGGCCTACGGGGACCGAATTTTCCGCCTTTCAGTCCGTTTTGTTCTCCACGTGATTAATTATTTACAATTATGGCGGGAGCAGGACAGTTAAATTGTTCGCCATTGTGGCTCGCTTGGCGATAAGCTCGTGAAATGTGTGCGGAGAAATTTTCAGTGACACTTTCTTTTTCCGCCCAGACGGCAAAAAGCATCGCGCCTGGCGCACAAAGTGCGGGTGTGTCATTCAAGTTGCAAGAATGGAGAGGAAATTGAAATTTCAATTTGCCTCTTTCCCGGCCCGAAATCGATAGAAGAATTGGGGGGAAAGCACGAGCAAAAAAGAGGAATTCGCGAATGAAGTGATAAGATTACTTTTTTGCTCGAAGCGCATGCAGAGGAGAAAAAAAAATCCTCCTCGTCATTCAGGATATTTTCTTAATTTTGCAAAATGCCCCACAAAGTTGTTATTTATAGTGCCCAAATGGGGAAAACATGCTCTGGTTTAAAGAAAAAAAAAATGCCCTCCGACATGTTCACATGAGCACGTTATTTATTAAATGTCTCCAGACGAGCACTTTTTTGCCCTGAAATGCACACAGAAGTTGAGGGCAAATAAGGCGAGCTGAAAACTTCACAATATGATGTAAATTGCAAGCCATTTTGTGTCTCATCTTTGAATTCAATCTATTCAGCCATTTGAAATTGGTTGTTCTATTTTGTAGAGTTACAGTCTTCCAAGAGCATAAAATCACGAGAACTCCTGCTCTACATGAATGAGATGAAAAACTATGTTCAAAGCAGAAATATGTCATTCAAGTTGTGAAATTGTTGACATTCTTTGTCTCCTTTTAATATGCACACTTCTTGTTCACTGTAACCTTATTATTTTTGCAACTAGTGATCATCACTCTGGGGCGGATAGTTAACATTTTCACCCTTGCATCCCTTCTTACATGGTAAGAAATGCTTTCCCAAAGAATGATTCTGATTTTCTCCATTAATCATTCACGCCATTTTTCGGTGGATTTTCAAAAGTAAAAGCATTTTGAAAAGGTGATTTTACACCTACAATTGTCTAATACGGATAATTTGTGTTAGAGTATGTCTTCACCTATTTTTAGGGTGTTTTGAGAGAACTTTTAGAATAGGAAAAGACGTCTTTTATGTAATTTGCACTAAAAATTACTTCTAATGGCGCCAAATTTCGTCAGATTTTCAAGAAAAATTGCATTTTAGAAGGGGAAAATTATATTCTACAACGGCATATATTCTTTTAAGTCAAATGTAACCCTTTTATACCGTGCAAAAGGCTCAAAGACACAACACAGAGTGCTGAAATATGTTTGAAATTTCTCTGTAACGGACAAAAACTGACCTCAAAGTGCTTTAAATACCCACAAATCATCTGATCCTCACGTGATGATTGCGATAGTGTGCTATTAATCGCCCCAATTACAGGAAGATCAAACAAGGAGCATGCGATAAGATAAGGCAATTGCACGACGTGCCAATATATCTCTAGGAAGTCTCCTGCTGAAATACCCAACGTCTCGGCGATGGAATGTCTTCGCGAGAGAAGTGCGAACGTGTCTTGATTATCGCACAGCGAAACTTTCGGGCAGGTGCTGGCCGAGTGGCCGCGGGGCGAGAAACCTGAAAGCAAGGGGCTGACCACTCACCTTCTCCAGGCGGCTGTGGAAGACTTCCCTGTGCAGCGACACGGCGGACTTGAGCCGCTCCACGTCCTGCTGCAGCCGGTCCGTCTGGTGCTGCACCGCCCGCACGATGTCCGCGTCCTTCTGCAGGCCGCTCACGCTCACGGCGAGCGCCTGAAGCGCCTTGGCGCAGTTCTGGCCCTCCTCGTGGCTGAAGTGCTGCTGCGCCGTGATTTGGGCAGCGTTGAACTCCACCTTGGAGATCTCGCGGCGTAGCTCGGGCAGCGTCTTGTCCATCTTGTTCTGGATGCCCTCCACGTCCTCCAGCAGCTCCAGAATCGAGCTGTGCATCTTGTTCATGGTGGTGCTCTGGTGGCCGAGCTCGCGGCTGAGGTTGAACGTCTTCGTGGCGGCGTGCTTCGCCTCCGTCTCGACGCTCTGCAGACGCTCGCCCAGGCGCTGGTTCTTCAGTTCCGACACGCGCCGGAAGAGCGCCTTCTGACCGGCGTCCAGATCGTGCAGTTGCTGCCGAATGAAGCGCCTGTGGCGCATCCGGTGATCAGCTTCCGGCTTCGCGAAATCAATAGCTTTGGAGTGTTTCTGTGGATGATATTATTTTTAGGGTAAATTGAGTTGCATTAGCATGAAAGCTCTATAAAGTTGGAGTTGATTTAGAGGAGAGAGAAAAGTTGCTGGCAAAGAGAGATGAAAGAGCTTTGGCAGAGCCAAAGTTGAGACGTGTTTTAAAATGTTATTTTAGGCACGATTGAACATTTGTCATTTCTGGAAAACTTTCAGACTGTTTCACCATGTAAGCATTTTTAGAATTGCACAGAATGGTAACAATAACAGAATTTTAATGTCACTTGCTTGCTAAGTAGTTTTAGGTAGTTTTAATTAAATATATGGAATATAAGTAGAAGAATTCCAGCAATAAAGCCAATTATACTCTATTATATTGTTTGCTATAATTTATAATAGCATTTTGTGCTTTCCTTTGCGGAATTTGTAACACTAAAACGACTCAAACAGTCACACAGAGGAAATATATATTTCAGTTTGAACTTCCGTGAATTGAAAAGCAGTTCAAGAACAGATTCCTGGTTTTCAGATCGATTTCTTAAGAGATTTATGACCCTGTCATGACTGAGAAAGGATATTTCGTGCTGAATTCCCAGAATTCCTCCATCGGTGCACCTTTAAGCACTGCTGATATCGATTTTGCAAAAGAAATGACCGTAATTGATGTCGAAAGCAATTCTTGTCGCTCTTAATTCTGGCCCATTAATTAATTTGCTAATTGAGCAATAACCACAACTTCTCTCTCTCTCTCTCTCTCTCTGGTTTAACGTTCAAAATTATGCGATTATCCCAGCGATTCCTCCCTTATCTTCCCGATACGCGACGCTTCATCGAGCGCGAAGTGCTTCTGAATTTAAAATTTAAAAGTGGCATCATATCTTCGTGATTGGATACGTTTTTATTTTTTCCGCTCCTCCAGTTTCACTTCCACGAAGCAATTTTAGGCTTCTCTTTGAGCAATTACTCGTGCATAATTTCACGAAAATATTACTTGAATAGAGGGGACCTCAAATGAAATTCAATACCTCACGAGTCGTTGTGCTATTCACATGAGATCATGTATTTTTTAGCATAATAACAGCGCATTTTGTCCCGTCGACTCTAACAATTTGTCCATGAATATTTTTTACCGGCCGTTTTTTACAGTTTTTATACACCAATAATTAGTCGGAAATTTTGTATTTCGGAAAAAGCTTCACCATTCAGAGCTTCACACTGAATTGTATTTTTAGCATTAATACATGTTTCCTCTAAAAAAAATACCTTTTGCCTGCAATTCCTTTTTCAACAGCATAATTTTGCATTCGGTCCCAATAAATAGCAGGGCTTTCAGCTTTTTTTGCTTTGATGCTTTTTGTTCAGTGGTAAACATAAAAATAATTGAAACTATAGATTGAATTATGAACGCAATGTAAAATCGCTTTCGCTGTTTTTTGTCATCTCTCTCTCTGTGAATTTATATTTTAATGATTCTTTCGATATTGCAATATTAATTTTCAACTGCCAAACTTCAGGGTTTTAATTGAGAAATTTATTTTACAAATTAAACTGAGATTGATTGGTTTTATGGTATTGCGAAGAGCTTTTTAGAATAATTTTGTTTTTTTTAATTCACATCTTTGTCATATAAATGTCAATTTGATTTTAAAACCAAATATTTCATATATTAGATTTGGGAAGGCGGAGTTTGTTTTCAGCTATGGTTCAATTTATCAATTTCAAAGTGTGATTCTGCAAATTTTTCCACTTGTTTGCTCTCATCACGATTCAGCTGTGACTGTACGAAATCCCATCGCACCTGCGAAAACACGGAGGGAGAAAAAAAACACATCCGAACTGGGCGAAAAGTAGAACAAAATGCAAATTTAATAATTGCATCAGTGTGGGATGGAATAAACAAAGATGTTGATTCAGGGGGCGAAATTTTATTTTTGGACACACCGGAATATTATTATTTCAAGAAGAAAATATTCGCAGAGTAAACAGGCGAGTTTGAAATGGATCCCCAAAAAAGTTCGGTGGGTGAAAAGGAGCCTCAGTCAGCAAGTTGACCAGCAATCGCCGGAGCATCTTTGGGCGATTGTGAATCGACATCTGAGAGCTCGCAAATGAAATTGTGGCGAGTGTGTGTGTGTGGAAAAAGAAAGCTCTCGAGGGAGAAGTGACCAGAAAGAGGTTGATTAAACCACTCTCATGGTATAGAATCTTTTTTCCACATATGCCGACATTTGGATAAATACAGAGGCGAAGAGGCCACAAAAGGAGATGCGGAGTATATAAAAGTCGAAAAATTCACCTGGAGCACGACCGAGCGATTCGGAAAGCGGGAGAGAATCGGCCGAGAGGGAATTGATGGAGAGTGGCTGAAGAAATGCTGCACCTGCCTCTCGAAGCTGATGAATTGTCGACATATTCATGCGTCGGACACAAAAACACCCAACATTTTGACATGGAAAACAGCAGCACAATTATCTTGATTTTCTCTGGCGCATAATTCGTTTCCAATAATGTAATGCCGCGCGATGCGGTGCACTATTTCCGCCACTTCCTCAAACTCTTCTCCTTTGCACGCGAAAGACAAATGTTTTGCCATCCGCTACGTGGAGTTTTTTTTTCTGCTGAGTAATTCTCCTCTCCTATTTGCCATCTGGCATCATAGGAAAACCGCCCTGACTTTCCGTCCCCGGAAAGTCAGTGAATCACTCTTCGTGTCCACTTGAGAAATCCTCTTGGCTGTGTAGCTGAAAAATCCAATTTCAACCTCTCCACTCATAATTGAAACGGCCACCAAGTATGTCTTAAGTGAGTTTTCTTCATACCAAAATGAATTCCGCAGTAAATTCGGCGCGAGGAGCAAGCAAAAAAAAGCACCACTGCAGACACATAAACTGAGGTTTCCTGTCGGGAGAGAATGGCAGGAAAAAGAGCTGAGGAAGATGGCGGGAAAAAAACCATAAGGCAAGTACAATGAATTATTACAAGTTCATAATGAATTTCGGCGGTTTCGCGAGATTCGGTGGGAATGCGCGAGGACGCCGAAGGGAGTTTGGATTGTTGGGTGGAAGTGTACAAACGAGAAATGTCGGGAATGTCGTTGTATTCAAATTAATTGGGCCATAAGCATAAAGATTAGGAGGTAGATAGGCGTTTGCCAGGAGTGCTTCAGCAGGGAATAGATTAATTCCTGAGCGGAAGTACACACCGAACAAGACACAGAGAATTCAGACGCTAAGGGTTGATTTTAGATTGCTAAACGGAGGTGGTGACAATGGCAAATATTGCTCCATTTGCAGACAGTTGATCGACTTGTTTCGGCACTTTGATTAAGACTGCAGATTAACTGAACTATAGTGAAATTTGACTTCAATATTTGCACCTATTTCTTGTGTTACTTGAGAGAAGTTTTATTTTCTTTCAAAGAATTTGTTTTGCTCATTTGCGATTCGAAGAATTTGTCAGACTTTTTTCTTCTTCCTTCTGATTTCTTTGCGTGAACTTCTGTCAATGGAAATATGATGAATTTATCGTGTTTATATGACTTCATGAACAACTTTTGTTGATGACATTTTCAAAGAAGGGGTTTAATAAGTATGAAAATATGCAATTTCTATGAACACAAGTCAGGAATGAATGGAAATAATTTAATGGAAATATTGCAGAGAGATGTGAATTTTGATTTCTTCATTAATTTAGTCAAAATCCCCAAACAAATCTGAAATTTAAGCAATTCATTAAAATGCATGATGATTTCATTGGTTTGTTTCCACTAATTTTGACTCTTGCATTGGCCTCCTGTTGTTGAAACTTCCTTAAGATTGTTCCCAACTCTTGGCCGGTGCACAAATTGCCCAGAATTTTCAATTTGACACACACTTTTTTTTTATGTATAATTTGCAAATTAACGTTCAAAATCCCTCTCGAAAAATGCCTACAAAATTTGCCGCATACTTTGTTGGGAGGAACGTTGTTAAAATAAAAAATTAATTAATGGTGAAACAGTGAGAAAACCGCACCGGTCCTGTTGCTTCGCATTTTATGGCATTTTAATTTGAGTCCCTCTCGACCTGATTTTGCGCGTCAACGAGAAATGTTTAATCACAAGGTTAACACACACCTGCTCGGGTGCTCATCCCTCGAATTATGACCTCGTAATCCCATCGTTAATGCCCCTCAGAAACCGCACTTTGTCACCCCTCAATTGTGCCTCACCTGATTCTTGTACTTGAGGCTGCGTCGCAAATCCTCGCCGGTCTGGATGGCCTCATTCCGCAGCTCGTGGATCAACTTGTCGGCCTTCTCTTGGCGCTGTCGCAGCGCCTCGATTTCCAGCCTGAGACTCTTCACGTCCTCCCTCAAGCCACTGATGTCCTCAATCATTTGTGTGCGTTGCTGGAACTCCTTTGACGATGCTGACGATGTTTGCTGAAGTTCAGCCAATTCCGACCGCAATTCGGCGATGGTCCTCGTGAGCCATTGCGCCGTGAGGTGTTCATTCGACCCCTGCCATCCCTCTCGCAGGATCTTCAGCTCCTTCCTGGGGGGCGATAGAGGACGAGGTGAATTGATTAAGTATGATGGAGGAGTTCATGATATTTGTGTAATGAGTTTGTTTCCTTAAGGGAAGCATCCCTCATATCTCATGTTCGTCCTCGCATTCGCCCAATCACTGAACTCAAGCTGGAGTATTTGCTCGAGCGATGGAGAAGGAAATGAAATGGAATTTGGCAAGTCGAGAACAAATTTGGATGAGCTAATCACTTGTACATATGCGCCCCAAATTGTGGCTCATAATATGCAACTAGTCTTCAAATGAATGCCTGGGTTGTACATAAAAGAAGAGTTCTGGCAAAGACCCATCGTTTGCTCACTCCTTTATTGGCTCGCCGAGTCAATAAAGCCTAAATCGCCATTAATATAAAAACCTGTTTGATGCGGTGCTGAAAACCCATCTGAAAAATTGGTCAATCGCGCAAAATAATGAGAAGTGCAGCTGCCCATGAAACACACACACTTCACTTCAGGGATGAGGAAGTTGCCGAGCATTTCCTGGCTCTAATGGAAAATATCCTTAATAAGCTTCGTGTTTATGTAAAACAGCTCATCGGGGTTAAGCAAATTATGCACTGTATTTTCTTCTCAGTGTGTGGGTTGTTTCAGCGTCGCTTAATATGCATAATTCTCTCCTGTTTTCCCATCATTTGCTCAAATTTCCTGGAAATAATGGAGCTCGTGTGTGTGTGTGTCGCTTTAAGTTATGGATTTCCAAAAGTGGATTTAAAGTCATCCCTTTTCATCGTGTGCCAATCGAGGGAGTTTCTCATGTCTCTTCTGAGTTGGAGTTTAATAAAAATAAATTTAATATATTCCCCCAGGATGTGGCATCTTCTCCGCATGGGTTTAAAACTTTAAGTTAATTGTGAAGACGAGCTGCAAGAATATGGCAATTGCGGAATTATCCTTGAGGACTGAAGGGAGAGTCGAGCTGAGGAGAGTTTGCCGTGTGAGAATGTCTAATTGGGGAACAATTGAGTTTGTATAACTTTTCCTCCACGGAGAGTTTCCAATAACTTTTCACCCACCCCATCAGTTGAAAAGAAATATCTTGAGGGATGAATATACACTCTTCCTGCGTCAGACTTTTCATTTTGATGCATCTCATCAGGCAAATACCTCGTAAAAGTGTATAATTTCGATGTGAAATGGGGTGTTTTTCATCCCAGCAAGAGGGAGAGAAAAAATATGTGTATTATGCTAAAGAGGAAAAGGTATGAAGATTTTTCTTAGTCGGAATAGCACCATAAATATCCTTTTACGATATCAACCGTGAGTACAACGTGAGCAGAAACGGAGAAAACATCATACAACAGTGGTGAAAATATTAAATATCACCGAAAATGCTTTTTCCTGGGCTCTGAGCAGCCCAGGAAAAAATCCATCTCCCTCTTATGTACATTATATATCCGATTTGCACGCTAATATCCTTTGTACATAGTTAGCTCGTGCGTGCGTGCCATTTGCCTTTCATATCGAAAATTTAATTATTTATTGTTCCACCGAAATTAATATATTTTAATCACTCACTCCTCAATTATCCCCGCCAGTGAAAAGTTTCTCCCCCACTCGCATTTTCATTTTTGCGCTTTTTCAAATGTAAATTTCACCTCAAAATTATATTACGCCACAGCATTTGATACTCCGTGTGCCTTTTTGCCGTGGGCAGGAACAAAATGATAAATGGAGACACGAATGAAGGAACAGGAGTTGGTCCTTTCATTCGACCAACTCGCTACGCTCGTGCCGATGGTGCGGACATTCTGTCAGCGATTGACGCAACTTTACTGCCGATTTCGATGTTCTGAGAAACTTCCAATGTGTACTTGACGTTTTACACACCTTTCCGAGCGACACTTTTGATAAATGTTTAATGATATTTGTAAGGGAAACTTCATGGAGAATGAAAAAACTATGTCAAGAAAAGTTTCAAGTTTAAGATTATAGAAGTGCTCTAAGAGTTTCTCAATAGCTTTCAATGTGCTCAAGACGAAGCAAACGAGTAATGGTGATTAGTAGATATGAAATTTGGATCCTTATTATCAAGAATTCAGTGAAGTTAAACTTCAAAGTTGAATACTTTTGATAAGTTCTCGATGTCTTCTATGATAAACCAAAATTCCATTCAAGTCCTTATCATTTGCCGACTTTCACCAAATTCCCAGCCAAATTCTATCGTACTCTTTCACACAAGTTCCGACTGAAGGTATTTTATGCGGTGAAGCGTCTGAGCTTCCAAATTGATGTATTTTTTTTGTGGCGCAGAGTACATAGTTTTAGGCTGCTATGAAACATACATAGTTGAAACTTTCGTAATACCCAGAGAAGCTTACATTTAACACTGAAGTATTTAGACGGAGCTTCGATAAATACTTGGAGCTCTTTGTTGTCCCATTTGAAGCATCCTCCACCATTTCACTCCTTAATCATGACAAACAAAACAAGTGATGCAATGTCTCACTTTGCAAGAAGCTTAACTCCGAGCTTAAGCTAATAGGTGAGCATGACAACGACAATGGCAAGGATCGTTTGCACAGTGTAACCGAAGCCAAAAGTCTATTCATCGAAATAATCACCTCATTTATCCACCCCCACGTCGGGCAGTCGGCAATGTCCTAATCCCTCGCTTTGGCGCATTTTTCCCGTGGGGCGCCAAAGGCGAGGGTCTGGAGAATATTGTGTCTAATTACCTCAATTGATTAATCTCCTCTCGTACATCAACTGTGGTGTACTGCTGAGCATTCTGGCGCACGAACTTCTTCAAGTTCTCCTCTAGGAGTTGGTAATCCTCTCGTCGCCTCGTCATCAGTGCATTCAATTGCTTCGACATTAATGACACTTGCTCACTAATGGGCACTTCTGAGCCCTCCGTGGCCACAAGGAGCGCCACGATGCAGAGGACGCCGAGGAAGGACACTTGATTCATTGTCACTCAACTGGGGGGACGAATTAATATTTCAGCTGGGGATTGATTATTTGCCCATTCACTTCCTCGTAATTCACATTCACAGAGACTCCCTCGGGCTTGGCATGAGAATGGGTGGCTGGACCAGGAGAGGTGAATTATTAACACACCGAATCACTCTCCGAACCACGACACAAGCAGCGACAGAAAGCCCCGGTAAAATGTACGTCTCAACGGTGCGAGAGTCACTTCTTAACTGAGAGTCGGAGCAACACTGGGTGACCCTTTATAGCGGTGGTGTGTTTGTTGCAAGGCTGCATCTGCAAGTGTGTGGCGTGAAACACTGGGCGACGCCGGCTGTCCTGTGCGGCTCTGGGGCACTGCTGAGAGACCACCCCAGCCCCAAGACCCTCGCGAGGGGAGCAAATCAATGGGCGAAACCGCCAAAAAGCAGCGAGCGAGACAGACTTTTCCGTGAGCAATAAACACGGAAAATGTCCTGTCCGTGGCGGGGTGCGCGGGCGGGGGGCGGCAGGAAGTAGGGGCGCATGAGCTGTGAACAAGAAAGTGCTGAATTGCCGGAGCAGAGACAAACAGGCGAACGCGGGGCGAAGGTGAAAGGGTGATTAAATGAACAAGCGCAGGTGGGAAACGCTATATACACGCGTGGCTCTGTGCCACACACTCTTCTGTTGAGCCACACATGTATTCAACTGCAAACTACACACAGAGAAATCCGCTCACGGGGCGATTGTATTGTGTTGGCGGCTTTCTGGCAACAGCATAAATTTTCAACAATATCGGCTTGCCGATTGCGCCTGATGCTATCTGCACTCAGGCGAATCTGCTCCGCCAAAAGGAGTCTGTTGAATCGAGTGAATGGCAATTTGGTCACAAATTGCCACGTGTTTTATCACACACAAATAGATTTATCGCAGGTAATAAGATAACCTCAATAGCGACCATATGAAGAGTCAAAATCACAATTCTTGAAAATTGAGTGTTAATATCACTGCGAAATTTACCTCAAAACACCTTCCAATCGTTCATTAAAGCGCTAATATTGCTCTAAAAAAATAATTTTGTGTATATTCCAGTTGATTTTATTAGCGTTTCTTGGAATTCTTGACAGAAAGGAGGCAAAGTTAAAAGGAAAACCAAAAAAACTGAAAATATAGCTTTCTAAAAGTAGATTTTTAATTATCAAGATTTTATTTATCTTGATGTGTTTCTTTATTAATAAAATTAAAAAATATGACCAATATTGTATTCATTCAAATTCTGTAAATATGAAAGAATAAATCTCAAAATTTTCTTATTAATAGAACACTGAAGAGTTTTTCAAAAAAAAATACACAAGACATAAACTATGCAAAATCAACTATTCATAGTTTTCAATTCATCCGTCGATGGAGTCCTTTGATAGAGGAAATAAAAACTTTTTTTCAAACTGAATTTCTGTTGAAAATAAATTATATTGACCACAATTAGTGCCCTTTGTGGCAATTTCTGGAGTTCGCCGTAAAATGTATTAAATTTTGCTAAATATAGGTTTTGTATCGTTTTCACAGAAAAGAGCCGTGCATGCATTTATTTAATATCCGTGAGGTTCAATTGGTTTCAGCGAATCAGGAAAATTTACACGGAAAACCTTTAATGTACCGTGATAAGGATCAGGCATCCTGTTTGGCTGTTTTCAAGCTCTAATAGCACATGAAACATGCACCAAATAATGAGTCGAGTGTGTGCTTAATGAGTTTACATGAATTTACGCTGCAGGACACCAAAATCAATAAGATTATCAAGTTGTGATATGTATTAGTGTCAATTTGTCCGAGTGCATTGCAACTGAAGAGCAAAGTCCCACTAAGCATATTCGATGTATTCTATTTCGAGTGTGTACCACAGATTTTCATCTACTTTCAGTTTTGCAGACTGCTAAAACTCTCTCTCACTCTGGGTGCTCTAATTTTTTTTCTTCTCTCCCGCTTTTGTATGATTTAAGGGCATTAGCAAATCCTTTTTCACCCCCTGAAAACTCACTACCAGCTTATGTGTTCATCTCTTTGAGATTACCAGGTGGAGCGCCGTGGTGCGGAGGAATGGCAGAGTGATTGCGAAGGATGGCTTTGAAGCCGAACCGTGTGTTCCCAGCACACCTGCGGCAGTTGTTTTGGGCTGTGAAAAAGATTCGGCCCAATCCTCAATTGAATCTCATTTCTACGCAGCTTTGCCAAGGCGATTGGTCAAAGGAGGGAGTGTGTGACGGTGATGTATGCAACATCGGGCGCTCGGGGAATAATGGAAATGCTCCCTTGTCGAGCCCATGAGAGGATCATCTTTACTTTCATCATCCCTTTGTGCGCTTCTCTTTGGATAAACACATGACTTCAGTCCCCCGCTTTGTCCCGGGTAGCACTCGGGGAAATTGCCGATGAGAGAGTGAGTGCTCTCGCCGCCCAAACTATTCAACTTTTAATGATGATGATGTGGAGTTGCCAAGAGTTGAGTTCGGAGTTGAGCTGCAAATTCACAGTCACTCGAGATTCTCGATGATTCGGTCAACAATGGCCTGCGCTGAGGAAAGTGTCCGGTGGTAAAGGCAAAAAACAAAGCCCAGCCATTATCACAGGCAGATGCACTCTGGCTGATTGGGGTAATTTTCCGGCAACTCTGCCGATCGAGTAGCCAGCGAGAACGCATGGCTGCAAGATGTTGAGGACGCTGAAGTGCCTGCCTTGGGCCTCCGAAATGATTGCTACTTCTGCATTCTCTTGCGCCGCAAATTGTGCCAGATTCACATTTGCATACACTCACTGGCACAATTGTTTCGGCAAGCAAACATTAATGCCATTTGCATGTTCTGCCTTTGTCGCATCAGAGCAGCGCGAATCTGGTTTGTTGGCCCATGAAAACCGCAGAAATAATCATGCACGCGTGTGCATTTTGCTGCCGCCGAGTGTAAATTGGCACTAAGTAGCAGCGGTTCTGAAATATGCGGGCAATTGTTCGGCAAGCAAGTTGCAAATTTGCATCGAAAGTGCACCACCTTTCGGGCCTCCAGAGACACAAGTTAGAATTTCATAGCACTCGCCGAATGTGATTCTTACATCGAAATGACACATTTTATGCAGCCGCATATTAAATTCTGCCCCCCGTGTGAGATTGCCAAACATTCGGGATTCAATCAAAAGTGTATGGCTGTGGAGAAGTGCACTGGAGCTGCTCCAAATGCATGGCGTGTGTGTTTGCGGGGCGAACAATGTGGTCGACACTTGAACGAGGAAATGATGGAGATGTCATATGGAAATGTTATTGAAAGGAAATGTTGGAGAGCTTTTTAGCAAAACCACCTTCAACATTTTCCCTCAATTTCTGGGTTATTTCCACACCATGTCACACCCAAATTGAGTGAGTCGTCACTTAACTCCAACCCCCACAGAAGCTCGGTTTCTTTCCATTTCCCCCCGCGCACTTTCCCAGATGCAATCGTGCTGACTTTCAACAAGAAATACCACTAATTACGCGCACTTCTTTTGGTAATTATCAAATTTCTCAGCATCTCAGCAGATCTTGCTGGGCAAAATGCACAGCAATTTGAGATTCCACCGCTAAATGGGACTTGTTGGGAATTTCGCAAAGTATCGCACATTTGGGGACCACAAGAGCAAGACAAGGAAATTCACCCAAGATGTGCTGAGGTGTCTCTGCGGAAAGTCTCAGTCCGATAAGACTCGGAGGTGTTCCTAAATCACTTCCTAGAGTCGCTGAAGCCACGAAAGCCTCATGGAAGTCCGCCAAATCTGAATTTCTCTCTGCTGGATTTTCATACAAGGGCCATTTGGGGTAAATTACAAGAGCACAGATAGCGATTGTCACGACAAAACAGAGGCTGAGGCAATTGGACTGTGATTTCAAGCTGCATTTTCCGCTATCCAAGATTCTTTGCACGACTTGAACAAATATGGCAAGAAGCTCAGAACTGTTGGTGTTTTCTTCAACTCTTCAGGAGATTTCAATTGTGTGTAATCACATTTTCACTTGCTGAAGAAAGGCTTTAAGTGAAAATGTGATCAAAATTCCCTTGAAAATTTCAATGTTCAATAACAATAGCATCACATCTATCTCTGAAACTTTGTAGAACTGTAACAAATTCAGCTCTGAAAGCAATCTTGTTTGAACTCTATTAAGTTTTAAAGAGGTTTTATTGCACGCAAGAGGGAGATATTATAATCCAAAGTGATGTACAACTCAACGCAAATATTAAGAAAGAATATTCATGGCCTCACTGCTACTTTTACTATCAAATTAAAGTGATTCTTTGATTTTCTTCTGATTTGCACTAAGAAAAAAAGTTACGCCTTTGCTAAAATAGTCATTTGGACGTGGAAGGTGTTTATTGAGAAATCTTTCTGGACGATTTTGTTTCTGAATCAGAAATTTTGAGTTCATTGGCTGATCTTCAGGATTTTCTCAGATTTTTTCAAGACGCTCTCAGTTCAGTGGGATCACTCTGTGCCATCCTCACTTTGCATTGCGCCCTCCCCATCGCGGATGGCAATATTTGGGGCATTTGCCAACTGGAAATTCCACCTCTGCCTCGCTCCCTATCGCAAGACATTTGGCAATTACGGCGAAAATGGAAAGTGACAATGTTCCTCCTGCCATTCCATCTGCGAGGACAGCGAGGATTGCTCAGTGGGACTTTTTGTGGCCGCTCCAGTGGGCCTAATTTCTACCTGTGTGCGCATTTGATACATAAGGGAGTTGGCTAGAAGGCCCGCAACCGCATATCAGTGGGCAACATCTGAGGAGCGGCGCGTGGCCAGCTGCTGCCTCGTTATGTATTCCGTGCGTCTCCGGGCCGCGCTGACCTCCTCAGCCACGATTGTCAGTCTATTGTGGCCACCGCGTCCCCTGAGACCTTCTGCGCTGGGCGCCCAAATGGACTCGCTGCCAACAGGTAAGAGAGCTCGTATTTAACGTGAACATCTGCCTCGTCTGCATGTGTGCCACTCACCGTGGATGATGGCTTAAATCATAATTCCGCTCTGCGGCTCCGATCCGATGGAGCATTTCGACGAAAATGCGGTTGCAGGCAAAACCGGACCACCGCATTTCGAGTCCTCGCCACATAATCTCGCTGTGGCATTCCCGAGAGAGCGAGAGAGATTCTTTTCCATCTGATTTGGTGCGTTGCTTTGTTGAATAATTGCCACTTCAGGCTTCGCTCAATTTATTCA